CAGGACCTCTGGAAGAGCAGTCAGTGCTCTTAACCTCCGAGCCATCTCTTCAGACCCCGACTCTAGTTTTGATGCAGATGCCTGAGCAGTGGATGGGGAATGGTCCCCACAGGCTGGGATGTTGACATGTCCCTGTGCCCCATGCTGTGGTTTACGCTTTGACAGCAAGAACCAGGTCCCTCAGGCTCTTGTCTTTCTCCCTCCCTCATGTTCCTTACAGCTACAGCACAGCAACACCTGAGACACACCTCTTCTTCTTCTTCTTCTTCTTCTTCTTCTTCTTCTTCTTCTTCTTCTTCTTCTTCTTCTTCTTCTTCTTCTTCTTCTTCTTTTGTTTTTGCTTTTTCTTTTCTTTTTTTTTTTTTCGAGGTTTCTCGAAACACAGGGTTTCTCTGTGTAGCTTTGGAACTATCCTGGCACTCTCTCTGGAGACCAGGCTGGCCTCGAACTCACAGAGATCCACCTGCCTCTGCCTCCCGAGTGCTGGGATTAAAGGTGTGCACCACCAACGCTTGGCAACACACCTCTTCTTGCTCCTGTATTGCCTGGTGTATTGGTCTGCTGCGGCCTGGCCCCACAGGCCACATGTCAACCACAGTGCCAGAAACCAGGAGCCAAAGATGGAGCTGGGGGTGGAGCTGGCTCCTCCTGGTGTCTTCCCTGGCTTGCAGGTGGCACTGTCTCCCTGTGTCACCCCCCCATGCTTGTCCCTCTGCTTGTGTTTGTGTCCTGATCTCTTATTTTATTTTGGTTTTTCAAGACAGGGTATCTCTGTATAATAGTCCTGGCTGTCCTGGAACTCACTCTGTAGACCAGGGTGTCCTCAAATTCACAGAGATACACCTGTCTCTGCCTCCCAAATTCTGGAATTAAAGGTGTGTGCTACCACACCTGCCCCACCCCCTTTAAAAATTATTATTTATTTATAGCATGATGTGTAAATTTGTATATGGATATGTACATGTGTATACAAGTATACATGTGTCTATTGTATTTGTCTCTGTGTGTACATGTGTGTATGTATGTATGTGTATCTATATTTGTATGTCTGTATGTCTCTATGTCTGTATGTCTGTGTATACAGGTATATGTGTGTGTGTTCATCTCTCTCTGTTTATCTTTTTCCAGCTCTAAGGATGTAGGACAGCCAGGTGGCCCACTGCCCAAACCCACATTTCAAACATATGTACAGCATCGTTAGTGCCATCTTCTATCAGCTGTTTTTAAATGTACCACCATGCTGTATTTATTAAGACCAAAGCGCAACCCTAGTTGGCTCCTTTTACCTGCTGTATAATTCTCTGCCCAATTTTCCTTTTCCATCACCAATCAATTTACCATCCCCCCTACTGATTGCACTTTGATTGTGTCTGCTTTCGTCAGGCCTAGGTTTTCATCTGGTTGATTGAGGTAGTGTCACATGACAATGGATGCTTTGGGCCTTTGGGCCCTGTCCTTCATGCTACTCAAGCACAAAGTGGGGCATTGCCGTGATCCCAGGGTGGACAGGCAGTGACATGTTTTGGTGTGTCACTTTGACCCAACTCTGTGCAGCTGGAGACGTGCCTATATAGTGGTGTAATTGACCTGAGAGAGTTTGGACACTTTGAATGTTCTACATTCTTGGTGCGCTTTCCGGCTGGGCCCTTGCACACAGTGGGCATCCCATGGTCCCCTGGGCTCTGGCCCTGAGGCCTCCTCCCTGGGAGCAGGGCAGGGCTTCACTCTGGCATCTAGAGAGCAGCTGAGCCCTGCCTCTCTACATAGTGCCTTTGGTCTCACAGGCTTAGCTGGGACCCTGGAGGTTTTCCAGGGTGGGAGGTGAGAATCGTGGCTTTCTCAGGACACCCTACCTGCCCTGCAGATCTCTCTAGAACTCTGGTTCATCTTTCATCCCCTCTCCGCCTATGTTCACCCTGCCCCTGACAGTCCCAAGCCCACGTGACAGGTACACACGCGTTTCTGCATGAGCAAAGACTGGGGGAGATTTTGGCTAAAGGGACAGAGTCCTCCCTGTGCTGGTTTGGTGGTGTTGGACATAGCTGACTTAGGTCTAACTTGCTGTATCCTGCTTCCTCTTTTCTTTCCAGAACCTCCGGTGCCCAGCCTTGCCTCAGGAGCCCAGGCTGCCCTTTCCCCTTAGCTGTGGCTGCAGGCTTGGGGCCATGAGCTGTCTTCTATATAGTGTGATCCCAGTGGGGCTGGCTCTGCTGGTTTGTGGAGCACAGGCCTTTTTCCTCCCCAACACCACAAGCCTGGAGAAGTTGCTGAGCAAGTACCAGCAGGCAGAGCCGCACTCGCATTCACGGGTGCGCAGGGCCATCCCCTGGTCCGATCGCCAGGAAATCCTCATGCTGCACAACAAGCTGCGAGGCCAGGTGTATCCTCCTTCCTCCAACATGGAATACATGGTGAGCAGCCCACAGGGGTGAGGGCAGGCAGGGGCTTTTTGAGAGGTCTCGTGTAGCCCAGGCCGTCCTGAACGTGCTATGTAGTTGAGGGTGACTCAACTTCTGATTGGTCTGCACCAGCCTCTTAAGTGTTGGGGTTACTGGTGTGCATGACTCTCTTTCTGACAGCTTAGGCTGGCTCCACACTTGCCATGCAGTCATGATGACCTTGAACATCTGATTTTCTGCTCCATCTCTCAAGTGCTGGTATTGCAGGTGTCCACCAGCACGCCCAGTTTATGCAGTGCTGGGATGGAGCCCAGGGTTTCATGCATGCTAGGCAAGCACTCTGTCCACTGAGCTA